GGATATTGTTTCGGACACTTTTTCACAAAAAATTTTGTAACATATGAATTCAATGGTTGGAGTCACGTATCACAATTCAATATCTTAAAGAAACCTTTTCATACTTTGGCTCATCATTTGTTTATTTTTACAAACATAAAACATTGTTCGAATAGAATTGTAAAATATTTTATAATCTAATTACAATCAATAAAGAGCGTTAATTTTTTAAACCACACAGAAATGGATATTGGATATTGTTTCGGACACTTTTTCACAAAAAATTTTGTAACATATGAATTCAATGGTTGGAGTTACGTATCACAATTCAATATCTTAAAGAAACCTTTTGATACTTTTCTTCTTTGGCTCATCATTTGTCTATCTTTACAAACACAAAACATTGTTCGAGTAGAATTGTAAAATATTTTATAATCTAATTACAATCAATAAAGAGCGTTAATTTTTTAAACCACACAGAAATGGATATTGGATAGTGTTTCGGACACTTTTTCACAAAAAATTTTTATAACATATGAATTCAATGGTTGGAGTCACGTATCACAATTCAATATCTTGAAACTTTTAGAGAAATAAGATAACCTTTTGATTCTTTGGCTCATCATTTGTCGATCTACTTTACAAACATAAAACATTGTTCGAGTAGAATTGTAAAATATTTTATAATCTAATTACAATCAATAAAGAGCTATAATTTTTTAAAATTCAGTTCTTGCTGTTTGTAGATGTTCCGTGCCAGAACCAAGGGAATTGAGACGTTTCGTGTCTCGTCCACCTCCAGGGGGTGGAAGATTGCACTGCACCATGCTCAGACACGCCGTGGAGCCGGTACCATGTTATACGTTGTATCTGGAATATCTAGGTGGCCTGGTGCCTCTGTTGAAAGGCAGAAGAACGAGCAAAATCAGGCCAGAATTTGTGATATTCGACCCACAAAGTCAGGACACCCTTCAAGTGGTGGAAAATACGTCGCAGTGTCCCTCGTTCAGCGATGGATCCGATACGGAAAGGGACACGGCCGACCTGTGCGGATCGCCTAGAAACAAAAGGAAAAACAGAAGAAAAAGGGAAGAAAAAACGAACGACGATTCCGACGATCTCACTTATGTGGACACCTTACCTGAGGTAAATACATTTGAACATCTCTATAATCAATAAAGAGCAACACCTGTTTCACATATTAATTCTCTCGAATTCTCTAAAAAAAAAAAAAAAATAAAAGACGACATTTTTCTTCTTCTTCTTTTTTCTTCTTATTTCTAAAATTAAGATTGACGTTACCTTGTTTCGTATTCCTTCCCTCCTCGTTTTTTACGACGAGCAATCTTTCTGAAAACGTCACGGATAACGATTTAAGAGGCTACGATACAAACCCGGCCAATAAGAAATTGCGTGATGTAGCAAAGTTTAACGAGCCCTTTGAGCCTTAAGGTATTGCAAAAGTCAAGTCGCGTGACCAACAGTGTCGCAAGACGTATCTGTTTGCAGCACGCGAGATTGGTCGAAGTAACGTCTAATATCTGGGGCACGAAATTCAAGTTTCACGGGCTGGCTGATTCGGTGCCCGCCAACTTGGGTCAGGTTACTTATCGAACATCGTTGTTGCATTTGCAACCGCGACAAATGACTCTGGTGATGACGGAATTACGGGATGACGTGCCTGCAGGTATATTTCCGCGATCACGAACGGAAAAAAAAAAAAAAAAGAAATGCAGCCGTTGCAATTTGAAGCTTGCGCCCAAAAGGGGAACTTTCCGGCTAACTTCGTTCCCAAGGATCGTTCAACGTCGTCGAGAAAATAAAATCTCTCTTTCGAAGACAAATTACATTTATACTCAAGTTAGAGACTCAAGTTGTAACGGTTGCGTCGAGAAGTTCGTCGACCTCGAAACTCAATCGATTCGCTTGCTCCTCAGGTCCGGATCCTACCTTCAATCCCAATCTGTTCTCCGAGGACGAGGAGGAGTCGTTCCAGGAATTTCAAGCCGCCTCGAGGACGACGTCCGAGGCTCAACCACCTCCCATAGCGCCCATGACGCCCCGTAACGCGCGCCTCAACTCTAATCGTCCAAAATCTCAAATTTCCAATCAATTCATGCCCGCCGAACCTTTGCCCGCCACTCTGTCCAGGGTCGAGAACTTCGAGAACGAGTTAACCTACGTGGACCTGCAAGAATTCGAGAATATGAGAACCACGGACGGTTTGAGAACCGGCAACACTTACAGAACACCGCCCAGGCACAATCCGCCGAGATGTTGCGACGTGCCTGCACTTCAGTCCCCGAAAAACGCGGTCGCGCCCACGCAAACTATCATAGCGACCTCGAACACGGGGACGGATTACTCGAATAACATTCAGAGAATGAAAACCGCGCTCGCCGATCAACCGGGACTGGTCTCGAAGAAGGAGCACGAGAACAACAAGTTGAATCAGATTTCTCAGGACGATAAAACAGTTTTGACATCCTGCCCGTCGACCATCATTCCAATGCACAATGGCCAAGCGTCGAACACGGAAGCGTCGAGCAGTCATGGATGTTCTCAGGGATCCATCGTGAACGGTTTGTCCTGCAGCAGTCCTCAATCGCAGATATTTGTCAACGGGTTGCACGGTATGGCCTGTTCGAGCAACGGAATCCAGGGTAAAAATAATCACAACGTAAACAACTCGAGCGTCGGCCAACCGTCTTCTAATAACGGTCCGTTCAATAAAAATGGCATACACTTGTCCAGCAATCATTCGCCGGCCTGTTCTTATCAGTTTCCAGAGAACATCGATCAATGTATCGGGCAAACATGTGCGTATTGTAGCACGAAGCTCAAAGATCCGAAATCTCACGAGCTGTGCGGAAAAACGAACAACACCGGCCAATCGAGCAGTTCCGTCACGACTGTTAGTCGAGTCGACGAGATGCGTTTCATCGACGAGGAATCCCGCGGGGAGGCGGAATCTTTCGACCAATCGCGAGGAGTCCACAGAACGCAGACGGTGGTCAGTATCGGCCCACTTTGCGTGAACGACTCTATAGTTAGAAGTTGCAGTGTCGGTTATTTGGACATGGTGGACGCGCAATTGGTTCCGTGTGATATCGCTTTGAAGATGCTTAGAAAGGAGGCACCTAACAAAAGATTGGTCCTGGTTTCGAGGAAGACGAAGAGGAGAAAAAAGAACAAGACCCAACAAGAGATCGGACAGCAAACGTCCAAGTCGCCCAGGCTTCGTAACTGTGGCAAATCTAAGAGTCTCGATTCTAGTGACATATTTCCAACTAACGAGCAAATAGCTTTGCCACCTAAGCTGCCTGAACACGCTGAAGAAGCAACGGGTGCAATGAATCTCGAAACTGTCGAAGACAAAAGTAACGAGTCTTTGGAAAAATCACCAGACGCGACAGAGATTCTCGATGAATCTGCTAAGCTTATTACAGGTTCCGTTGTGGTTATGTCTGCCGAGGTTAAGCCAAATCGATTGAAAAGTTGTAATTCGCCTGTTAGGTAAGTTGATAAATGATGATTATGTATGTTTTAAACCAGTGATTCTCAATCTGTGATCCATAAGGTCAATTTTCTGAGAGGTTATTCTTATCGTATTTAACTTTGTGTAATTCACCCTATATTTTTATTATCTCTCTCTAATTTATATTATCGTTTCAGAGGATCTAGCCCGAGTGGTTCATTGGCATCGTCTTTGGACGGTCTTGCAGCTCGGCTTCGAGATTTCGACGAAAGTCATTCTTTGCCGCCACCATCGCCTCGTCCATCCACTAGGTAACAATTATTAATCGTATAAATTATTCGACGAATCAATCGTTCATTGATGGTTAACATTTTTAGATTACCTAGAAGTTCTCCCAGTAGTCCAGCACCATCGAAAAAAGGTAAAAGGCCAGCATCTGCCTCGCCGATTAGAAGAAGACTTTTATCGAGTCCTCTGTTAAGTAGAAAACCGCGAAAAAGTCGAGGCGAAAGTTCAGACGAGGAAGGACTCTTGCAAGATGACTCGTCGACCAATTACAGAGATCTCGAAACGTTCCAAAAAGCACAGTTGCGACAGAAGGTTAGATTAGAAGAAAGAAAAGTAATAATTAACACGTTATTTTCTATGTAAAAGATGTGTGAAAGAGATAATAATCTAATTTAATTTAAATCATTTTAATTACGACGTATAGTTGAAGCAGAAAGGAGGAGGGATATGTGGCCATAAATCAGAAGCAGTGAGGCGAGAGCTTGTGATGCATAATAAAGCACCAATGTGGAATGAGTCCAGTCAAGTATATCAACTTGATTTTGGTGGTAGAGTGACACAGGAAAGCGCTAAAAACTTCCAAATAGAATTTAAAGGAAGGCAGGTGTGTGCAGAAATAATCTATTTCAGAAACTATTAATCGAATATCGTGTAATTGTTTCAATTTTCCTCTAGGTAATGCAATTCGGAAGGATAGATGGAAACGCCTACACATTGGATTTCCAATATCCCTTTAGCGCTTTGCAGGCATTTGCCGTTGCCTTGGCCAATGTTACACAACGGCTCAAGTAATAATCGTTAGTCTTCGATAATTCGTTTGGTACAAGAATGTATATGTCAATTACTTTGTCTTTTAATAACTGATTCCACACATTTAATAAAAAATATTAATTTTTCAGGTTTATGTGAAATTGAGAAAAACGAAGAATGTTACTCAGAATGTATCTTGTAATTATATAAATTATTCGTCCAAACTAAAATAAAAGAAGAGATGAAAAATAGAAGGCTAAATCTATGATAATACGCTACACATATAGTAAAGGAGAAGAACGAAAAACACTTTTAAATACAGCTTTCGAATAAAAATAGAGCCACATGTCTTTCTATTATTAATATTATCGACGGGCTAGAATAAATCATTAAATAAACGAACAAGCGTTCAGTCAGCCTCGATACAGAGATCAAAGTTGAAGAAAGCACATGGTCTTGCTTGTGGCAAATAAAAATATATGAAAAGAAACAAAAAAGAAGAAAAAAAAGAAAAGAAAAGAAGAAGAAATGAAAAAAGAAAAAAATGAAGATCTTAGCCTCTCAATCAATGCCTTCAAACTAATGTAACACGATACGTCAGTTCGCAAGGATCAGTTTTTAGCGAGCGAATAGTTGAGAGCGATTTGAATTTGAGCGGAACACAATGATTTTGTGGCAAGGAATCGTGGTAAAAAAGAAAAAAGAAAAAAGAAAAAAGAAAAAAATAAAAGATTTTGTTGAAATGCTTCTTCGTCGTACCGTCCAAAATATTTCGTTTCTCCCAACTTCGAGCGCTCATTTTTGTATAGTTTATGCGACACGTTGAAGTCTAGTAATGCTGTTGAAAGTTCACCTCGTTCATTTTTGCGGTCCGCCGAGTGTATTCGAATTTTATATACATATATATTGACGGACTCGCATAATCGCGCGAGCGTTTCATGTTGTTCAATTAAATGTTTCTTAAGGCATATTACAAAATGAAAAAAAAAAAAAAAAAGAAAAAATGAAGAATTAATGATATAACGTCCGGCCTGTGTTCGTCCTCGTCGAAGCAGGACAGACGAAGGAGGCAAAATGAATAAAAAATAGGATAAAATAAAAGAATGTAACCAAATGATGCAAAAAGGAAAAGTATTTGCCTGTATGCTAGTGTGTGTACGCATCAAATTAACTGTCGTCTGTACTTAATCCATGGTCGTTGTATTTCATTCGCCTAATTGTAAGTAACAAGAAAAAGAAGGAAGAGAAAAATATCGATTTCAGGCCTACACAAGAAGCGCTTAAGGGATATAGTTATTTTTTCGTCGAGTCGAAATTTTGAGAGTGGGGCGCCTGAAACGATCGCAAACGAGGTCAAACTATGTAAGAACGCGATTATAACTTTTGTTGTCTAGCTATACATAGAAAGACCAAGTTTAAAAGTGTATTTATTAAAATATGACACGAATTGCAAAGTCATATAACGCTTGATAACGAATATGTATAAGAAATGACGCTTTAGAAACATTTAATTTCTCATAAAATGTGATGCGTCTTATACTGGCTGTAACCCTATTTTTTGCAAACATATACATACGATCAATTTTAATAATTGCGAATGTAATTTATATCGTTCGTCTTTTAGAATCGATCCTTTTTTTCGATAATGTTTACAGTTATTAAATCAGGCCGCCCCGTACTCACGAGTTAGCGATAAATATACAAATATTTATGCCACACGTATTGACAGTAATCATCGGTATATAAAGCTGCTAGATCGTATGGTTGGTTTGATTTTTAGACAATTTATATGTTGAATTATCTATCGCCACCAGTAGTAGATAGCACGTTATAACTACTTACATGATATATTATCAGCGACAAACGGTTTTTGGTTGATAAATATTGTTGCATTCGTGCCGTAAAAACTCGCAGGATATACATAAATATAATGATACGCATAGCGTCTGTACAAGAAAATTTTATTTCGAATTTGTATAGAAGTAACGAACATCTGAAAAAAAAAACGACGCACATTTATAAACAACGTAATCGATCAATCGAATTATGAATAATAATGTCGATGTCCTTTTGAAATTTTTTCATGAGTTCGTGCGTAGTTAAAGAAATGTTTTGTACCGGAAATCGTTGCAAAGTTTCTTTCGTTCGTATTTTATTTAAGAAACTGTTCTAGAAAAACAGGAAAATAATAAGAAAAAACAAAATATGAAATAAATAAGAAAATTAAGACAATGTTACGATAACAGTTTCACAATGGCTAACTTTTCATACTTGCACGAACTTTTGATATCGAGAAAAGAATTGCATCAATGTGATCCAGTTATTTTTAATATGTATGCATCTTTATTACATCCGCCGAACAAGACGGACTTGAGTCACGCGATACAGGTTATGTTTACAATGACGAGTCAATCCGCCAAATATCTATTTTTTTTTTGGGCATCCGTTATATAAACATTATAAAACGATTGATCATCGATAGATATATTAAATAAAAATCTACTGAAAGAAAAAAACAAACTGTTACAATTTGGATCATTGGATCTTCAGAATGCTTCTTTGACGATGAATAGTGCCTATGCATATGTAAATCGAATGGAACGACCTATGAAAGTAATGTATCGAATCTAAAACAGGAACATTACTCGTCGAAAGTTTCTCGATACTTTATTATTGTATAACAATTGTTATTTTAACATTATAGATTCACATAAGCTGTCGTTTGTAGCTACGCATAATATAATTATACACGCGCCATAGTCGTGACTGAGTTCCAAAATGTTCGGCCTAGCTCAACAAGTCAGACTTACTATTTGTTATATTTGTTAATTCAGATGAGAATCCCTATGTTTTTCGTTGAAATCCCTATGTTTCTTTTATGAGCATAATATTGTGATTATGCTTATTGATATATTATTATAAAAATGCTATGTCACGTATAAAATCTTGTGACTGAATAATATACATTGACTAGACACGATTTTACATTGTAATGAGAATCGTATCAGTATTGTTTCTGTTTCTCGTATAATGAAGTTGTTGATTTATTGTCTTAGCGCTGAACGATCATTCTGTATATGTGCAATGCAATTTTGTTACCGAATACATTGATGATTATCAAACATTTGTAAATAAAGAATGAAATTCTACACGATAATATTACTATTAATTCCTTATATTTTCATTATATAACAATAATAATGGGGGAAAAAAGAATATTAAAACGATTATTTGAACGCATTTTTTAAAATAAGTATAAATAAAAAAATAAAGATAAGTGGAAAAAGAACAAAAATATAGTAAAAATATTGAAATCAGTATCATTTTCATGCCACAAGTACTCGATACTAAATAATATAAAATTAAAATAGTTGTAGAAGGATAAAATAGGATAAGAATTAACTTTTATCAACGTCATTCATTCGAATACAAAAAAATATTTTCAAAAAAAAAGATGTTTCTAAAAACTCCTAAGAGATAACGCTAGATCTAAATTCTTATTCTACTTTATCCTATTTTTGAAAAGATATAATATCTTCGATAACTAAAAGATGGCATTTAAAGTTAATTCTTATCTCTACTATATTATTATTATTATCTCTTATGATTTATAGCACTTTGGAAATGATTTCATAATTTTTATTTTATCTCTTCTGTCTTTCTTGTCTTCATTATTTGCTATTCTTGTTTCTTTTTATTACATGATCATATAAATAAGAAGAATATCAATTGAATATTCATTCATTTTTTTTAAGACTATAATATTAATTTTTAATATAAAAAATATATAATAAATATATTATATTCTCGATCGTATAATATATCTTTAGAACAACTCACAAAAAATATTATTAAAGAAAGATTCGGAGCTGCCATCTGTTAATAGCCATTTTTATATAAAAATCATTTCGCTGGATTATTATACTACACACGTCTGAGATTGTAAGTATTTGCTAAATGATAAAGTTTATGATGATAGTCATTTAGTTTTTTAAATTATCTATTGATATTATAATTATAATATATATTTCATCATTCATAATATTAAAGTTTACAATTTTTCATACAATATTAATGAGTATATATATATTTATATTTCTCTTTAATATTTTACTATTGTTAAAAATTATAATATGTATTTAAGGATTCAAATATTTTTTTAAAATAAATCAATTTTCAATATTAAAAATAAGAAACGATATTAATAATAATAATAATAATTATATAAGCAAGTGATTAGTAATAGAATAAATAAAATTATATAATAAACAAAAAAAATAGCTGAGTGAGGAAAGAAAGATAGAAGAGAACAAAGAGAGCAAAGATAAGAATAAAAGATTGAATGTATGTGTGAATCTGTAAATTAAAAATAATTTTATAATTAGAAAATTAGATATGTGTATATCAAGTTTATTATTAATTAAATTTATTTGATATAAAATAAAAATAATATGCAATATAAATAATGAATTTTTTTTTAGATAAATAACATGTACACTCTTGGCCTTAATAGTGTGAAACAATTGATTAATAGTTACTTTAGAAGCAAAGAACCATGGCAAATAGTAGCTATAACAAGTACAACTATCCTTACTTCAATTTGGCTATGGAATTTTATTTTTCAAGATGAAAGTATGATTGTTATGATTTATAATACATATAAATAATAGTGTAAAAACTTTTAATAAATTAAAAGTTATTTTTTAGGTCTTAGAGAAAGAGCAAAGAAAAAATTATTTAATTTAATGCATTTTATACCTGCTATTAGAAATAAAATTGATCAAGAATTAGATAATATTAATCAGATATTTGAAAAAGAAACTTTACAAAGATTAAAAAAAGTTCCTTTTGTTGTAAAACTTCCTGAGAAAGGCTTGAAACCAGAAGAAGTTTTAGAAAGAGTAAAACAATGTGTTCAATTAGGTAAAAGATAATAAAAGAATAGAATAATAATAGATAATA